GCCCCCCCCCCCCCCCCCCTTAATTGGAAAGAAGTTTTTATTTACTCTGAAACAGCTTCTTTTTTTTCTCTTGGTTCAAATCGGTGCGCACTGGTGTCGTCAGAAAACAGTAGCGCATTTCCTTCCTTTCTGAACGTTTAAAAATTTTTTTTTTAATTAATGAAAAATAAAAACGAACAAACAAAACAAGCCAGCTGTAGCCATAATCATCTCCTCATAAATAGATTTCCTTCGAGATGACACAAATATATCTGTCTCTTTACAACAAAAAGCCCCCGAAATAGAAAAAGAGAAGAGAACAAATAAAGGTCACCTGTATTTGCTCACAGCGGCCGCTGCTTGGGACCTTGGCAGCACCGGCATGCATTGACAGCCCGAGGATGACCATCAGGGACAAGAGTGCCGTGGCGAAGACGTTCTCATGGTCGAGCCTCATGGTGCTGATTGTCCGAGGGATTGGCGGGCCCGACTCTGTTGGGAAATTATAACTATTAGATCCGTGAAACCGGAAAACAAAAGAAATACCATCCACTTCCCACCCTCACCCCCTAAAAAACAACCCAAGAAACGAGTCACTTAGCATGGAATCAAGGCTCTTGTCCCGCCAGTTTATATTTCTATTAACAATAACAAAAACAAAAAATTACCCAGGAAAAAAAACCAAACTCAGCTCTTCAAAATTATGTCCGCGTAACTGTTGGTCCACTTAGGGGTAATTTAGTTTTGAGTGTGGTTTTTCAGCTGAGTCCTTCTTTCCATCTCTCTTGGTCTTTTCTTTTACCCCAAGTACAATCATGCAAAGAATGTCCGGACTCTAGAGAGACCCGAAGGAAATAGTTTAACGCAGCATTCTAAAGAGTTTTTCTCCATCGTTGAGCTCTCGATTTTACATAAAAGACCAGTGGTCTTCACTCCAAAATGTGGTGTTATTTTAACAATATAAATTGCTGTTTTTAAAGCTGTTTTTTTTACCATGTATTTTTAGGTACTTAGGCTTAAACCATTCTGACTTGCGGGGTAAAACCAAGTCGTGCTGTGAACTAACCTAAAAACAACCGACTTGTGCCCCGCGTGCTCATAATATTATATTATTATGATCTTATATTACAGTTTCGAGCGCGCATTTTAATCCTTTTTTTTTTTTTTTAACCAAAGTGAAAACTTTCTCCTTGACCCTCATAGCCCACCTTCAGCAAGACTCTTTCGTATACGGACCTCAATCTATGCTATGATATAAAAACAAAAGCAGACTGAATGCATGTCACGCGTGCACTTGATCCGCAAGGGAAGACACAGAGAAGATGCGTCGTACAGCGTTGCGAAAAGGGAACACCCCCGCTTCTTAATGGTCATTATTTATTTGGTGATGTGCTTCTTTTTCACTCGAACTGAAAAGCGCGTCACTTAGCTCACAGCTACAACTAACGCTTATTTGTTACATGTGCTACTCTGTCACCCCAGACTCTCAGTCAAACGCCATAGGCAGGTCACTTCAGTCGCAGGTTGTCGGTATTGTTTCGCTGTGTGCTGCTCTGTCACCCAAACTTTAAAGCTTCGTCAATGAACTCATCACAACAGAAACGCACGCACTCACACGCACACTCACTCACATACAAACACAACAATGCATACAAATGCACAAACACACACACACACACACACACACACGCACACGCACATGCACGCACGCACGCACGCTCACATGCACGAACGCATGCAC